TGACCCTTTTTGACCGGTTGAAACCGGTACCAAACTAATTTGGGACTATTTCATAAACTAATCCAAAATATTGGGATTTTTCAGTAAACAAAAAATATTAGGACTTTTCTGTAAACAAAAATATTATGACTTTTCTATAAACAAAACCTTAATTATTATTATTGTTATTATTATAATAATAATTATTATTATTATTATTATTATCATCATCATCATCATCATCATCATCATCATCATCATCATCATCATCATCATCATCATCATCATTATTATTATTATTATTATTATTATTATTATTATTATTATTATTATTATTATTATTAAAAATATAAATAAGAATACTTTTTTTTGAACTTGTTATTATTAATATTGTTACTAATACATATAAATGTATTTAAATGAAAAAATAATATTAATGACATTGTTTAAGGGTGGAGGTGGAGGAGATGTTGCTGCCTTTAGCATTGAAATCATGCATGTTTGCTTGTATATTTTTACTTTTTATATGGCCATTTCACATTTGTTGTTATTGTTTTCAATTAAAAATAATAATACTTAACAATTTAAAAGAAGTTGCATATTTGTAAAATTCTTTATAAATAGTTTAAGTTAGAAGGATTTCTCACTTTGTATATAAAAATGTTTACAGTAGAAGGATTATTTTCAAATCCAACAGATCCACTACAAATATCTACATAGGTAGCCCATATCAAAATTCAAAAATATTAATTACAATATCTTGTTCAATAAAAAGTAATAGGACATGTTTTTTGGATTAATACTTTTGAATTTTGAATAATACTTTTGAATTATTCCTATTACTTTTTGTTAAACAAAATATTGTAATTAATACTTTCGAATTTTAATATAGGTTACTTATGTAGATGTTTGTAGTGGATTTGTTGGATTTGGAAAGTAATTCTTCAACCTTAAACAATTTTATATACAAAATGAGAAACTCTACTACCTTAAACTATTAATATGCAACTTCTTTCAAATTGTTAAATATTAATATTCTGAATTGAAAACAATAATAACAAATATGAAATGACCATATACAAAGTAAAAATATACAAGTAGACATTCACGATTTCAATACTAAAAACATCACCATCTCCTCCACCTCCACCCTTAAACAATGTTATTAATAATATTTTTTTCATTTAATGCATTTATATGTATTAGTAATAATATTAAAAATAACAAGTTCAAAAAATAGTATTCTTATTTATATTTTTAATAATAATAATAATAATAATAATAATAATAATAATAATAATAATAATAATAATAATAATAATAACAATAATAATAATTAAGGTTTTGTTTATAGAAAAGTCCTAATATTTTTGTTTACAGAAAAGTCCTAATATTTTTTGTTTACTGAAAAATCCCAATATTTTGGATTAGTTTACGAAATAGTCCCAAATTAGTTTGGTACCGGTTTCAACCGGTCAAAAAGGGTCAAACTGCAAATTTTTGCCGGTTTTCAGGACTTTTCGTTCAAAAAAAAAATCTTGGGACTAAAGTGTAACTTTTCCGTAAATATTGGAACTTTTCTGAAGATTTCCCATTATTTTTTTGTACATTAAGGGAATGATGTTTTAATTTACCGTTTTAAAAGGTCCTTATTTGACTTGATACCGGTTAACCAGGTAAAATGTGGTGATGTATGCTTGATAAATAGGCTTAACACTTAAAGCTTCCAACTTTCGTCAACCTACCAACTCTATACCTAACAAACAGTATTTTCTTCACTCTTATCTTCTACGTCGCCTACTTCCTCCACCATTGGCGGGAAAATATCGGCTCCTCTACCCCTCTTCACGTCGTTACCCTCTCCAAACTCACTGTCATCGTCTCTCTCATTGCCTCCTTCATCTACCTTCTAGGGTTCTTTGGCATCGATTTCGTTCGATCCTTCATCGGTGCTTCACGTGTGGACGAGGACAACTTGGGGACTACTGGAGAGTGGCTTCGATTCGACGGGAGGCGTTATAAAAAAAAAATGGGGAGGCCATTATTAGGGTTACCGCTTGAAGGATTCAATTACAATTCGATATTGGGGCAGTGTTGTGAGATGCCTATCTGTTCAGGTACTTGTCGAAATCGCAGGACCTTTGTTGTTGAATGGTGGCGAGTACATGGTGCCCATGGCTACGACGGAGGGATGTTTGGTTGCGAGCACAAATAGAGAAGCCATATTTGCATCAGGCGAAGCCACGACAATTCTGTTAAAGGATGGGATGGCGAGGGCACCTGTTGTTCGGTTTGGATCGGTGGCAAGGGCTCTATTTTCTTCAAATCGACAAAACTCGGGTTTCATTCGATTTCAAGTCCTCGAGGATAGAAATTTGTACAAAATCTGAAATCTAAAACTTATGTATAGCAGGTTTTAATCTCAAGTATCATTACAATGAAATTGATGTACAAAGAATCTGAAATCAACAATTGAAGCTCGGATTAACAACAAAGAAGATGAATTGGATTGTTCCAATTCACCACAAATGATTCTAAAACTTGAAGTATTTGAATTTAGTTTTGGGGATAAGTTTGGAAAGGCGAAACCTGTTATAGTAGGTCAAATGATTTTTTTAACAGGTCAAAGGATAGTTTATTCCCTTAATGTACCAAAAAAAAATTTAGATGACCCTTTAAAATAAACAGGAAAAGTTTGATGGGCTAATATGACATTTGATTATATATATATATATATATATATATATATATATATATATATATATATATATATATATATATATAGAGAGAGAGAGAGAGAGAGAGAGGTTTAAGCTATTTTTTTTTTTTTTCAAATTTTACTAATTTGACTAACACTCTAAAAATGACAAGTCATGCATGTTGTGTGACAAAAATGACGTGGCAGTGAGATGGATGTCAAAAACGTTGATGTGGAGCGGTGCATGTCCTTAGGCCTAAGGCAAAAAGTGGAGAAAATGTCTTGAATGACATGGTCATGTCACTTTTTAGGCAACACATGACACAACCATTTTTCGCCCATGTTTGTTGGTTTTAAAATGTTATTTATAGTAGGGGTCAATGAATTTCTAAACTTAAGGCGTCGAACCTTTTCCGCCAAGAACAAATCTCTAGCATAGAAACTTCGAAGTAAACTGTATTTTATTTCTTTAATTTTTATCGTTCAAACATTGATAGTATTGGTCATGTAGTCATGTGAGGTTAAATCTCAACAATTCCAACATTTTAATTTATCTTTTGAATTTTGATATATATGAAGTAATTACGATAGATCTTGTTGAACGCTTTGTTTGTATGATTTCTTGTACTTAATTCCAAATTTCATTCATTTTTATTGAAAATTGATCACTTCGTTAATTTCAAATAAGGGTCATCAAGATTTACAAGCCTAATATTATTTTATTCTTGATAATAATAGGAACAAGGTAATGGTATTGTTTTTGTAAAAGATATAAATTCCATTATATTATATCATATAATATAGTTTAAGCACTTCGAACAATTGTGTTGATTGTAGTTGGCACTTCTATCATTATCATAGCAACATGCACATTAAGTTCAAAACTGCTAGAACTTAAAGTGGCATGTTAGGTTTAATCACCGAAATGCATTTTGTTAGATTATATAAATTCAATGGATGTTAGAACGTCTAGATAACTCGTGTCAATACAAATCATTCTTTTAGGGATCGTTACACAATCATCAATAATCATAAGTTGGATCATGTTAGATATTTGATGTTTGTCATAGTAATTTATATAATCAATCCCCGTATTGTTTTTATCTTACTTGAGTATCAAGGACACATACACTTCTAACATGTTCGGCATAAATTGTTAATTTATATAATCAACATTTGGTCATCGCAACGCAACAGTCAGTGGTGATTACTTTTGGCTACTTATGACCTCCACTTAACATTTAAGTTGCAACCATGTCACAAGAAATTTCCATTTTGAGCATTAAAATTTTCAATATAGCAATCAACTTTCATAACATCATTGTAGTACCTTTCATGGGCATCTTACATCCCTTAAAACTTAAAGTCTTCTTTACACTTTTTAGTGCTTCCAAACACTTTCAATAACATAAGAACACAAGAGTTATTTTTATTATTTTATGTGTACTTTAATGCTTAAGTAACTTGTATACCATGACTTGTACTCTTTCAACATTCATTAGGTTGAACATGTGGTGGTTCCCACTTGAGGGAAGATAGAAGCATATCTTTTAAAGGGTGTTGAATGGAATCAAGATAGAAACATCACAACCACATGGTGTGATTCTTATAGGATAAGATTGCACTACATTATAATATGAGTGATGATGCAGAAAGAAAATCACTTTTGGCAAATTCTAACACGAAATGTACTCACGGAATGCAAAACTTGCAGAAAAATGATGATATGACTAACAACTATCTGACTTGGTCAAGATTGAGCAAAGTATGAAAAGAATTGGGAATTCCAAACCATTTCACTTCATCTTATGTTTTTAAAGGATCTATCATACTCGCATAAATGCAACAAATTTGTTTTGGCAGAAACTAGTCAGGGAAACACTACAGGAGGCTAAAAAGAATCAGAAGAGAACACTTCATTTGGCAACTGGAATGATGTTTTTGGCATTTTTCAAGTTGGTTGTCAGAAACAAATTGTGAAGATTCTAATTCGATACACAAGTGATAGTATTAGACACGAATCATTGCAATTAGTGCAAATCTTCTACATAAATTATCGTAGATAGTCATGGCCAACAAAGATGTATGATTTTGAGGAAGAAAACCTAAATTTTAACTTAACAAGCAAACGAGAAGAACTCAGCAGATTCAGGATCTCAATTATGTAGAAAAAAGCATTGAAATCGTTAAATTTATAATTACCAAACGGGAGAGACAACAATTTGATTCATAATCAAACAAAGGAAGCATAAACATAAAGGATGAAAGAGCATCATACCTAATTTTACATGTAAATTTCAGAAAAAGCAGTGATCTAATAAAATTATCTGTTGCTATCATAATCAACGATCTCGTTATCAGTAACAGACCTCGAGTGCTGAACAATTGAGCGTCCAATTGAATTGATCCAATCCTCCTTCTCCTTTTCAGAATCGGCGATGAAGTACATAGTATCGGATCGGGTAGATAGCTCAAAAGCGAACTGCTTGTTGAGGACATCTTCGGCTCCTTTGACTGTGAGGCAGGTGGCGACTGGCACGACGCCACGGGGACGTGATCCGCGGGTTACGATGCCCTCCTTGAACCAGAAGAGTTTGCCTTGTTTCAAAACGAACCAACGGCGGCGCCAGGTCTTGATGTACTCGCCTTGCTTGGTGAGCCAGCCGGTTCGCTCGGGGTTTGACCAGTACTCGACGCCGTCGTAATCATCGACGTTGGGTGGCGAATCGCCCATCACCGCTCGCCATAGGCTGGCCATCAAGAGATCGTGGTGGTGGTGTCTGGCGTCGGGTGAGTGTGATGATGAAAACAGAGCTTCGTGAGTTAGATATATGAATATAAATATAAATTAAATTAATATATACAATTACTAAAAGTCTCCAAAAATTATATATGATAAAAACAATAAAATAAAGTATTTCATTTTATTTTAATGATCAAGTTTGTTATAACTGATATAAAACTAATTATTAATAATAAATTATTTAACCCAGAAATAATAATACAAACAATGCCAAAACAATATTAATGTATACATACCTTTGTGTTTTTTTTGCTTTTATAGTAACAAAATTATGATGTTACATGACAAAATTCCAAGAAATATAAAATATTTTAAGTGCTGTCATGCTATTACTTATATGTTAAGTAAGATGGCGAGTTGGATAATTTACTTGTATCAATCCACATGATTTTAGTGTCACGATACTGTTTTAATATTTGAAATTTATAAATTAACAATGAAGTTTAATTTTTTATTTTGTCTAAATATTAAAATTAAAATGTATAGAGTACGTATTTATGTAAAACAAGTTTGATCATGACCAAATGGTGGGGAGGTCAATGGCGTAGTCCCCCATCGATAAATTTAAATTTACTAAGGAAAATGTTATGGAAAATATCAGTTACAATTTATATTTTCTATAGAGAAAATAAATATACGTTTATTTTTTTATTATTATTTATCCTCCTAAATATATGAAATAATAATGTGTTTTAAATTGTCATTAATTTTAGCAAAATATGATATTTGTCTTCATTTGATATGTATAGAAGGATAAATAGGAAAAAATATAGGATGATGTTTAATATTGATTTAATCTTATGTATGGTAATCCGAATAATTTGATTGCTTATTACTTTCTTGATATGAAACTGCTCATTGAATGATTTTCCTTATAATCTAATTTTCGTGATACCCAATTATCCATGCATAAAGTCAAATTTTCAAATTCGAAAAGTGATCGTACGATTCTCCAAATAGATAGACGAAACCTCTCGATTTTAGAAAAGACCATCTTCCTCCCAAACCCTAACAAATATCATAAACTTCAATGAAAATAAATAAATGAGAAATTAAATATCATCATTTATATTTCTTCATACATATAATTTATATCTACAATATTACACAAATTACTAATAAACAAGAAAACTACAATGACATTGTTTATGTACCTAAAATAAAGCTAAAAACAAATATAAAAAGTTAAACACAATCAGGATATCTGCTTTAGTTTGACTCGTAATACATCTTTATTTGATGTAAAACATTACAGTCTGCTCATTTTTATATGAACAACTTTCTTGTTTTGTTATTATTAGTTAAAATAGTTATTGGTCTAAGACATGAAATTTATTATCTTGTTGATGGAGGTTAGTGGGTTTTCTTATCCCAACTCACTTTGGTGTAGTTATGTTGCGTTGAAAGGCCTGCAATTCCAGAGGGATGTCTTTGTGACCCCATTTATTTGCTTATTTTATTTCTTCTACTTTTGATAGTGTCATCGTCCATTGTTCTCAAAAAATCAAATTCGATTCTTAATTTTTTTAGATCATTGTTTCTCATGATTTTAAAACTTTTAATATTAAAGGTTCTTAACCTTAACTATATTAATTTTTTTTCCATTAAGTTCATTTAAACGAGGGGAAAATAGTCTTTTCCATGCCACAAGGACCATTTTTTGAAAAAACACACACATATATATATATATTCTTACTTTATTTAAACACTAATAGGCCCTAATTAAACATGAATAGTTACTGTCCTGGCAGCTTCCTACAATACCTACAAACAATCATTCGTCAAAGAGAATTAATCACCAAATAGATAACCACTACACAGATTTAATACATGCAATCATCACCCATTTTTTCATCTTCATGCATACATTATTTCTTAAGAAGCAAAATCGGTTTCGATTAATTATAGCTAAGAAAGAGAAGATCACACATAACCCTCAAAATTGTCTTTTTTAATAAATTAAGGTTCACTATTTATATAATGAAAAGGTTTTTCAATAAACTTATATTGTGGAAACTATTAGATCACTTATGATATACCTTAAAACAACGAATTTAATGTAAAAGTATAAATATCATTTATAAGGCGTCAATAGCCAAAGACATTAATTATAGTGCTTTAATATCATACTGATCCAATGGTTGAATATGTTTCAACAATCATCCGATTAAAAGAACATGTCAGTTAAGACCGGTTTTTTGTTTACTAATGAACCAGATTGAACTAGCTAGATTTACAAAAAAAAATCAATGGAACCGTTGCCCGTTGATCCAAAATTGGGTTGGCCTTGAAGATATTTATGAATCAATATTGTAATTTATGTTTACTTTTTGATATATTTGGATAGTGCTTGAACTTATCCATTTGATAAATCGTAAATTATAAAAACTAATAATTATTAAAAGTAAAAATAAATCATCAAAGTAATATAAAATTTTCACAAAATATGACATAAATTTATGTGTAATTGATTTTAATAAGCAATTTAAAATTTTAAAACCAATTATCACTATATATTAAAGTTTGTTAATATTATATGTTTTAGAATAAAATTCTAAAAACTAGATTGATTCGATTGTTGAATTGGTTAATCTGTGACCCATTCATGAAATCGGATCAACTAAAAAAATAAATTTTTAAACATTGACTAATTCACATATAACATCTTTTTTAAACGACCAAAATTTATTAAAAAAGACAATTACTTATAAGGTAACATGGTTGTTTTCATATTTAGTCATGTCTGTTTTTTATATATACGGTCATAGAACTTGTTTGGATTGTTCATAAAATATCAGTATGACTTGTAATTGTAGGTTTAACCGGTTTTCAACAACTTTGGCGTCTCCGATGAGCCTCTTTTCATCTTCTCCTACCAATTTTAATTTTTCTGACGATCTTAGTTCTTGAAAGTTCGAATACAAAATACTATATTCTCTCTCCTTTTTCTCTTCTCTAAAACAAAGATGCACAAATCATTTTTTCTCTCCTCTATCTTTCTTCTATGTTCTTTATATTCTAAGGACAAAATATCATTTCTCTCTTCTTCCTGTTTAGATTTTGAGTTTAAGTTCTAGGGTTTGAATGAATTCATTTTATTAGATCGGGTTGAGTAATACATTTAGATAATTTTGATTTCTAGGTTATCATATTTCGAGGGTTTTATGGATTTTTCAGAATTTTACAATATTCTAAGGTGTTCGATCTTCAATGCACCATTTGATGTTCGATTTCATCTTACACTCGAGTTTGAGCTCCAATTTCTAGGTTTTTTTTGTGTGTATGTACGTCTAGTATAAAACAAAGAACACTCGGTTGAAGAGAAGTCAAGTTCAAGTTCATTTGAAGCAAAGTTTGAGTTGTTCTAAAGCCAATTTTTAGTTCATTTGAATCAAATCTTAAAGATAAAGACGGAAAACACTCATACTCTTGAAGAAATCCATTACATAAGTCGTTGTGGGGTTTAGATTCTTGAAGAAATTATTTGTGTTCTTTGTGTTTGTGTTCACGAGTGTGTTATTGAGTTCTTGAGTGTTTTGACCAAAAAGTTCAAAATTTTGCCGTAAACATACACCAATATATCATATGGTGTTGTGTGCACAATCCAAACAAGTTCAGTTGTTTTGACCAAAATATCAAATTTAGCCATAAATATACACCAATATGTCATAATGGTGTTTTGTGAACAGTCCAAAAAAGTTTGGTTGTCATATGTGTACAAAAGAAAAATAAGTGGCTAAATGTGTATAAAAGCAACACCATGTTACCCTTATGAGTAAGTATCCCTATTAAAATCGAAAATTTGTGATAAGTTAGGAAAGTAACATTGCACATTAATATACATTATTGGGTTTTCATCCGTTCGAGCAGTTAACTTTCGCTTTCCGAAATCTACCAACAAACCAATTGTATAAGTTGATAATAATATTATCAAATAAAACATGTTTCTTCTTGTTGCCACAAAAATAATCAAATAAAATGTTATACATAAATTTCCAATCTAAAGGTAGTAGTTTACAAGAGCTATAACCATTCCCCAAGAGTACATTTGCCAAAAAAAAAAAACATTCCCCAAAAGTGCATTATTCTCTTTGTTTTGCTAGAATATTCTCTCAACATAATCAGGGGATCTCATTTCAATGAACGAATGCCACGTGTTTAGAAGATTTCGATGAGCTCACCATTTTTACTAGGATTCGTAAGAGGGTAATGAGTTTCTGAATCTTGATCGCTTCAAACCCTTAAAGTAGCTAACTTATTACACCTATGAATTTCGTTGACCAATTTAAATTAGAATATTTAATTTAAAATTTGAATATTATCTAAATTAGATTAAATTTGAATATTTAATTTGAAATATTAAATATTATAGTATGCTTACTATGTGTATGACATAATTACAACATGTGTCCTCACATGTTTAACTAAAACATTATTAGTCAAACCATTACTAGGTCTCTAATGTTATAAGAGGGATTTAAGGAGGTCTTTATGATTTCTAATGAGATAGGTTTTAAAGCTCAATAGCTTACCACCCCCACTGCCTCTTGCACTTTGAGAATAAAGTTACCAAAACAGTTTGATAGGATATATATGTTTAAAATTAAAAGTATGAACTAAAGTAATAAAACAAAAGTCTCATTTAATATAATTTAAAATGTGAATTGTGTGTTACCCATGAAAAACACACATTTCTTTATAATTTATTGATGGAGCGTGTGCGGTTAATCGACACGTCAATGTGAGGATTTGTAAATGATGTGAAAATCGTGAATCTCAAGTGTAGCATGAGTCGAGCATCATGCAATATTTGCATGGTTGATTCACCATTTGTTCTATGATCAGCGACATCCTTATCATATAAATAAAATAAGCACAATCCGAGATTAACATGACATTGAATCTAGTTAGTAAATCACAAAAGATCTAGTAGCTTCATAGAAAATGAAATTAGC